TAATCCCACATAATTAGTACTAGGGTAAATTACAAGCACCCCTGATGTATGGTTAGTTTATAATAAATAAAAAAAACCCTCTTGTTTGGATAATTACATCTACCCCTCAACTATGATTTTTTCTTACACATCCACCCTTATGGTGTCAAATTCAACATAATCATCTAGATTTCGTGGAATGTGTTCTAGTTTGTACTCGTTTTGTGTAAAAATACAGTTTATGATGCAGCACAATCTGATTTATACAAGTCAAAAAACACATATTATGATCATCTTGCTTCAAAATATAGAGTTCGAATAAGTTAAAACGGGTATAAAAGTGATAATATTTCATATAATCTCGAAAATTCCACTAAATTTGAGAAATTGAGGGGTGGTAGTAACTATCTAAACAAGAAGGAGTTTTCGTAATTTAACTATACCTCAAGTGGTGGTTGTAATTTACCCTTAGTACTAATATACATATATTTGTAATTTGTGTAACAGGGAAGGTGTGAATGTGAAGGGATTTATTGCATGGTCATTTTTGGACAATTTTGAATGGGGCTCCGGATTTACCGTACGGTTCGGGCTTGTCTACGTGGACTACTTAAACGGGCTCAAAAGAATTCCCAAGAAATCAGCTATTTGGTTCAAGAAATGCCTTTCTAGGAAGTAAATTAAGCCCGATTTCAAAATGGGCTTTTTGTAACAAAAACTATTTTCGATTTGAGCTGTTTTCACTTTTTAAATAAAATTAATTTCCCTCCCGGTAATAAAGTTCCGAAAAAGACTTGGATTTAAATATTTTATATTTAAATAGTTGCTCTCGTCTCGTATGCATGAATTCATATAATCACATTATTAATAAGTCCAGCGGCTTATACTACACGGGGTGAAATGCAACGGGTAGATTTTTACCATTCATATACACACAAACACACACCCATATTGGTGTGTGTAGATCAACGGTAAAAAATCACCCAGTGTAATCTTCACCGGGTGTAGCATAGAAATAACCTCAATTCAACGTCCAAATGAATCTTGCTTTGTATGATCAATGTTGGTTCCTGTTCAAACCACGCATTTTCAAAGGGACTTCAATATTCTCTTACCCGCGTTTCTTAGCACAAGATTCCGACTGTGAACGTGGATCCGGAACGTGCTTTCCCTCTTCTTGGTGTACTTCAATGACTAACAAAATTTGCGAGCATCATAACTCATAAACTAAAAAAAAAATACCATCCTTGTTTCAATATACTGAAATATATGAATAACCGCGTAACTAATTGTTCGTTGATCATGACAAATTATTTTGTGGAAACATAGATATATCAGATTCAATTCAGTAATCAGCGTATAATTCAATATAAATTGATGGCGTAGGATCTACATCCTCAAGTCCTTTCAAGTCCAACTTCCTTGACCGTCGGAAAACCCACCGAACACCGGTCCTTTATCGGAGAAGATGAGTTCGACGAACGGAAAATATAAATAGAGAGAGACAAAGAGAGAGAGAGAGAGAGAGAGAGTTTGGTAGAGAGTATAACGTATTCTTTATTGATATTCAATCGTGTTCTTAATAGGACTTGTTATAAGACTTTATATAAGAAGATTTCTCTAATTGCTTCCTAGTTTAACTCGCCTTAATTAGATCGAGATTTACATTGATTGATCCATTACAAATACTAATTTACATACTTTACTTTCTTATCTATTTAGAAAAGATATTTCCGAGTCTTCTACATCTAATGACTCTCGTTCAACTCGCCATCTACCTCGTTGATTTGTCTCTGGCACGTTCGGATGGGCTGGCGAGCTCGTTAACCACGAACTTCTAAATGGACCTTATATTTGACATGTATTTGGTCGGTGGGACCAACAAATCTCTTACGGCCTGTACATTTAACCTTAAACTATTTAATAAGCCCAATATAGAGAGTTTGGCTCAAGCTTGTCAAACTAATTCCATCATAAATTATTATTTAATTTCACTTGGAAAAATAATCAAACAGCATTAGGAGCATTGTATTTAAAACCAAATGCAAAAAAAAGAAAAAAAGGTTATTTTAGTCTAAAAGTAGATTTTCGAATTAGAAGTGTGGAATAAAGTTGGGAAAAATCAATTTGAGGACTGTTATTTGTACAACAGCTGGCTTTCATTACAACTCAACACGGTTCCTCCTTCCACGCACAATTTATACAAATAATATATGTATATTGTAATGAAACATTATTATATTTAAATATTTAGTAATTATTATTTTTTTGAAATAACTTTTATTATAATAAATATAATATTAATTTTTAATAAAAAAATTAATAATTATAAAAAAATTATAGTTAATTATTTTCAATAAATTAAGGGATATAATAATAAATTACACATTTTAAACAATTGTTATTACGAGAAATATTAATTAATTATAATAATAAATGGCACAATAGGAAACTGAACTCTGACTTAAAATACACTTACTTTGACTTTAGCAATTTTTTCAGCCAATAGGAAACAAAAAAAAAAAAACCCAACGCGCATCTAATCATTTTCTCGCGTTTCCCGCCGCCCAACTTTCTCTCTCTACCCTCTCTCTCTCTCTCTCTCTCTCTCTCTTAAATCTTTCCACGAAAGCTCACAAAAAAAATGGTGGAACGAACGGAACAACAACCTTAGTACACTTAAACATTCATCTCTAAAGTGTCTCCTTTTTCTAGTTTCTACTGCGTGTTTTTGCGTCTGTGTGCGTGTGCGTGTGCCTCACGCGCGTCTGAGTGTGTGAGAGAAAAAAAATGGCTGTATCATCATCCAACATCAAGAAGAAGCACAACTACTGCATCTCAATCTCAAAATCTTCGCTCGATTCATTGCTACAACAAGAACAACAACAAGTAACCCCAAAAATTCACTCACCGCCCTCCAATAAGCTCAAGCTCTTCTTCAAAAGCTCAAAATTTCTCGCTTTCTTGATTTTTCTTCTGGGTTTTCTCTGGGTGTTGAAGATGTGGTTCAAATTTGATCCTACGGCGCCGTTTTGGCAAAACCCATGTTCGATTTCAAGTGGGTTCTTGATTTCTCAGCTGAATAGTAACGATTCGATTTCGGGGATTGAGTTTTGGGAGCAACCTGATGGGATGGGGTTTAGGCCGTGTTTGGATTTCAGCGAAAAATACGGGAAAGAGAGTGCTGGAATTTTGGAGGATAGGACCAAGTATTTGATGGTGGTGGTTTCTGGTGGGATGAATCAACAGAGGAATCAAATTGTTGATGCTGTTGTTATTGCAAGAATCCTCGGAGCATCTTTGGTTGTCCCCATTTTGCAAGTCAATGTTATTTGGGGTGATGAAAGGTTTGTAATTTTGACCTAATTCTTGAAATTAAAAAAAAAAAAAAAAAAATTGGTCCATATAAAGTTATGAGGAATTATTAAAGTTTGTAATTTGACAAATTTTGCAGTGAGTTTGATGAAATATTTGATTTGGATCATTTCAAGAATGTGTTGGCGAATGATGTCCGAATAGTTTCGTCTCTTCCCTCTACGCATTTAATGACGAGGCCGGTGGAGGAGAAGAACACGCCGCTTCACGCTTCGGCGGAGTGGATTCGGTCGCGTTATCTTAAAAGGGTAAGCAAATAAATTCGATTTCTTGAATGTTTTAGTAGATTTTTAGTGATAAAATGTATTTTCAAGAATTATATCGATAAATTCGGTCGCGTTATCTTAAAAGGGTAAGCAAATAAATTCGATTTCTTGAATGTTTTTAGTAGATTTTTAGTGATAAAATGTATTTTCAAGAATTATATCGATAAATGTTCGAAATGATACGTTGATTGTAGTTATGTTGTTCGAATTGATGTGTTTTTATTCATATATTCGTTTAAAATCATTGGAATTAACTTCTTTTTTTTTTTTGTTCTTACAGATTAGGAGGGAAGGTGTATTACTTTTACGTGGTCTCGACTCGAGACTTTCTAAAGATCTTCCTTCCGATCTCCAAAAGCTTCGTTGCAAGGTATCCCATTTAAATCATTCTTCGTATTTCTATGATCCTTTTTACTTCCTATTTCAAGAGAGATAAATATTAAATATAATGTGCCTTTTTTTTTAATAAAAGTAAACTTATTATCCGATTTAAACGTTGTAGGTGGCATTTAATGCATTACGATTCGCCCCAAATATTATGGAACTCGGTAATAAGCTAACCAAAAGAATGAGAAGCAAAGGTCGTTATCTTGCACTTCATTTAAGAATGGAAAAGGATGTATGGGTTAGGACAGGCTGTCTTCCTGGTTTAACGCACGAGTACGATGAAATCATATACAAGGAAAGAAAATCCAGTCCGAAGCTATTGACTTCGAGGTCAAACATGACTTACCACGAAAGAAAAATTTCCGGCCTTTGCCCCTTGAACGCATTAGAAGTCGCAAGGTACATTTTTTAGAAATGCTTAATTTTTTTTATTTTTTTGAACTAATGGAAACTTCTTACAAAGGTACTATGTTTTTTATTTAGGTTGCTTAAAGCGTTGAAAGCTCCGAAAAGTGCGAGAATATATTGGGCGGGTGGGATTCCGTTGGGAGGAAAAGATGCTCTTCTGCCATTGATAACGGAGTTTCCTTATTTTTATAATAAGGAGGATCTTGCTTTGCCCGGAGAACTCGAGCCGTTTGTAAAGAAGGCCTCGTTAATGGCGGCTGTCGATTATATAGTTTCGGAGAATAGCGATGTTTTCATGGCGTCTCATGGTGGAAATATGGGCCATGCTATCCAGGTATAAACCGATTTCCAATTTTTTTGGTACGGAATTGGAATACATATTAGATTCCGATTTTCAATCCAATTTTTAAAATTCCAAAACAGAGAACGAAAATTAGACTTATAATATCAATATTATTATGCATTATATTCCGTTGATTCTGATCAGAAAATTCCCGATTTTGGGCCTAGTTTTTTTTCCATTCCAATTTCTGAAATTCCGATTTCCGATTTATTTTCGATCGGACTTTTTATTTCCAGATCCGGAATTGCTAAATTACAATCCAATCCGTCCAATTTTGTAGATTATGTCATGATTAGCAGATAATTCAGTCTCGTTCAGTGTCTGATTTAGTCCAATGATTTTCGAGTAGGTCCAAAAGAAAGCCAAACAAGGCCTTGTGAGATTTGTTACGAAAATATCTGAAATATAGTGTTAATCGTAACTTAATTATTACAACTCTTGTTTGTTAACTGACATATACGTTGTTTCGTTTGTCATGTAAAAAACAGGGGCATCGGGCATTTGCCGGGCATAAAAAGACGATCATCCCGAACAAAAGACAAATGATCCCTTACTTTATGAACTCTTCTATCTCCGAGATGGAATTCGAGAAAATCATATTCGATCTGCACCGAGATTCGTTCGGGCAGCCGGAAATTAGGACAAACAAAAACGGGAGGGACGTGACGAAATACCCTATACCGGAATGCATGTGCAATAATACGATACCACGTTCTTCGATCTAATTCTCTCTAAATAGCTATTTATGGCAAATTAATTTTGAACTTTCTGTTTATTTCTTTTCATTTGATTTATTCTTTCTTGTGTGCCTAAAAAGCCCACATTGTTACTACACATGTACATAATACAAAGATTATTATAAATATTCTTACATTTTTTACTAAGGTCCTTTTTGTACTGTAGGTAACTTATGAATATGACTTGAGGAGTGGTTAAAGATTCAGGTTGTTTCAATTTTCACCCCAATAGTTCTTGAAATTTGCAATTAGGCCCAACTTTTTCAGAATTTACAAAGAAAAATGTTGGGTCATTATCGTAAAGATCAATTGAAGACTGAGGTAATTAACATTGAGTGAAAAGAAAATTGAAGTAAAATGAAAAATAATAAAGTTGTCATTATATTTAGGCTAAATAGCACTTAAACCCCCTATAGTTTGAGTTTTGTGCACATGACCCTTGTACTATCAATATAACCAAATGAACCCCCTGTAGTTTGAACTTTGTGCACATGACCCTTGTATTCTTATCCTATGGTATTCCACTTGGTAAAAAAACATGTTCATTAAGAAACGAGGGAGTCATGTGTGATGATGCTAAAAATAGACCACCTCAAGTAGTTGAGATCGAGGGAGCTGGGAGAGTAAAGTGGATCACTGCTCACGTGCTAGATGACCCTGAGATACCTGCGAACAAAGAACACGTGAACTAGGCCGGGGGTTGATCCGGCGGAAACCCCTCCGACGCTCAAGTCAGACGTGCGGATTGTGGAAATAGTTGAGAGAATACAAATTATAGTATTACTCAAATAATAGGGCGTACCTTTAATAAATGAATTCCGTCGTTATTTATACTTTGACGATTGGGCTGTGGTTAATTTGTTGGGCCAAACCTTATTTGAAGGTAATTGGGGTTTTGTAATAGTATTCTTGTAGATCGGGCTCGTGGCCCAGAACGTAGAGAAATAGTAGGCTAATTGGGCTGGCCCAATTAGGCATATCAATGTGCTATATTGAAAGTACAAGGAGTCATGTGCACGCTAAAATCACAAAGGGTTTAAGTGCAATTTACCCTTATATTTATAGCTTAAGATATCTTAGTCGCGTATTTGTACTTGTAATTCAACAAATTCTAAAACGATCGTAAAATATATATAGAAGAAGAGACATAATCCAAAATATCTGCTCGTTAATCGTGTTCACATATTTCGTAAAAATATACTTACAAGTTACAATATATAGATTATTGCATGAAATTACAAAATTATCCTTTCCTGCATTTTCGGATATTTCCAAGTTAAAGTCTCAACGGCTGAGATTTAATTGGGAAGTGAGGGACGATGATCGGAACACTGCTTCGGCTTGTTGATGATGCTTCTTTATCACAATCTTGATCACTAATAAGATCAGCTTTCAAAGAAGGTGTAAAGCAACTGAGAAACAGAGAATAAAAACCCTTTATTAATGACATCATTGTTATATATGAAGGTTTTGATGAATTGAAGAATATGTAATATATCTTTGGAGATTGCTATATTTATGAATGAATGTGTAAGTATATAAATTTGTTACATTTTATTTATAGGCATGAAAATTTGTTTGGTAGTGAAGAAAGTTTGGAGATTAGTGGGCTGCAGACTTGGTGACCAAGCAAGCAAAAATCTCAACTTGTGGACCAAATTTTCCCTTAGCCTTTGTGCTTTTGTTGACTCATTTTAGCAAAAAGTCAAACCCTTGAAAATGATCCATTACTTTTTTACAAAACAAATGCATATCAACTCATCAAGAATTGAATTCATAGTAATAATAATTAATTAATTAAAATAAAAAAAAAAAAAAAAAAAAAAAAAAGCGAGAACTCTATCTATAGGTGTACATTGCCATGGAGTATCTCGAGATGGGGAATCGAACTCAGGTCTTTAGAAGCGGATACGGTTGGAAATTGGAATGAAATTTTCGAATTCCGTTAATTTCTCAGGTCTTTAGAAGCTGATACGGTTGAAAATTGGAATGAAATTTTCGAATTCCATTTATTTCGGCAATTAAATTTTGATTTATTAACAAGATTTATCATTATGAATTCCGAAAGTTCCAATTTGTTTTTTCAGAAAGGAATTGGAATACATATTATGTTACGATTTCTGATCCGATTTTAATTTCTGAAAATTTTGAATTTTTTAAAAAATATATATTCTTGTAATATCAATATTACTATGCATTTTGTATTATATAAAATTGAAATTTTACGAATTTCTGCCGATTTTTCGACACGAATATTTCTAATTTTGGAACAAGTTTTTCCGTTCCAATTTTTTCGAATTTTCTTGAAACGGAATTGGAATTAATTTTTCGACTACCGGAAAAAAAAAATCCAATCTGATCCGTCTGATATCCACCAATCTTTCAATATTTGTTAGGCCCAAAGCCTAATTCCTCACAATTGGGGTAATAATTCGAATTACAAAGCCCAATTCCAAGAACCCACCATTCTTGAAAACCCCATCACTGACAGTGACAACTGCCGTCTGATTTTTGATCCTTAAATGCGTCGAACCCACGCGACAAGTTTGGCACATCATTCGATTCTCTGCTAAAAACCCATCAAAAAAAAAATCGAAAATGCCGATGAAGGTGGTGGATGCAACAGTTTCAACATTTGGAGAGGTTTTTGAGAAATTTAAGAGTGAGGCTGATAATCACAAAGCAAATTTAATACTTTTCTTGGCCGACAATGAACCATCCACCAATCTTAGTTGGTGCCCTGGTAATACACTTATCACTCCACCCTATAATCATATATATCTCTTTGTTCTTGTTTGTCTGATATTATATTGGTTTTTTTTTTTTTGGTAGATTCTGAGTTGTTATATTTTCTGGAATTTAATTGTTGTATTAATCTTTTGTAATGGGTTTGGTTCTTTCTCGGTAAAATTTAATAGAAAAATATTTTTAAAAAAAAAAGAATCTTGAGAATTTTGTGGTTGTGTTCTTGATTTTTATTTTTTTTCACTAAGGATTAGTTTTTTTAATTTTTATTGTTTTTTTGACAAAATTGTGTTGTGGGTTTTGGATGGAATATAAGTCTTAATCTGACATGATTTTCAATTGAAAAAAAAAAAAAGGAATCTTGAGAATTTTTGTGGTTGTGTTCTTGATTTTGGTTGCACTAAGGATTAGTTTTTATTTATTTATTATTATTTATTTGACAAAATTGTGTTGTGGGTTTTGCATGGGATGTAAGTCCTAATCTGACATGATCTTCAATTGAAAAAATAAAAACAAAAAAAATAAGTGGGGGATAAAATATGATTTTAAATTAGTGGGGGATTTAATTTTGAAAAAAATTAATTTTGAGAACATCAAATTTGATTTAATCATGATGCTTAATTGCTTATAGTAGATTTTGTTATTCTAATTCCAATTTTCTCTTGAATATAGTGTGATAATATGTTCACTTTTATGCAATCTAAACATCACTAATGAAGAAAGACACTAGAAATAGTTTAATGTGAATCATTTATCATCGTTTTCTTGTCTATTTTTTTTTTGGATTTCGTTATCGGTCATAAAAATTAAATTACATTGAGGGGCTTACACGAAATCCAAACTATTTGAGATACTTTCGACTTTTTCGCAAATTTTCTATTTCGTTGATGTCGTTTTTTTTTCTACTTAAGATTGTGTGAGAGCTGAGCCAGTGATATACAAGAAGCTAGACTCTTCGCCCGATGATGTGGCTCTTTTGAGGGCGTACGTTGGAGATAGGCCCACGTGGCGAAATCCCGTCCATCCATGGAGAACGGACTCGAGTTTTAAGCTCAGAGGGGTTCCGACTCTGATCCGTTGGGAAGATGGTGCTGTAAAAGCCCGTCTCGAAGACCATGAAGCCCATGTTGAGCCCAAAATCGAAGCCCTTCTATCCGGAAATTAGATGACGATTTCTTTTTTCTTTTCGTTTTGTTTTCGATACACTTTTTTGATGGAATATTAAGCTGCTCTCTCTATCTTTAATAATGTGCACATTGTCTGAAGGGTGTTTGCAGTGAAATGTCTGGATGTGTTTTAATCATATTTGTGTTCGTTTACTCGCATTCGATATTTCAATCCTTCATTATCGAGATGTGTGCAGTGGGGGGTTAAAATCGGACCGATCGGATCGTAATTGACCCTTTTGGAAAAATTATGATTTTTTCGAATGTGAAAAACTAGTACCAATTTCATTCCAATAAAAAGCGGGAAAAAGAAATTGGAAATTGGAATTTCGGAAATTGGAATGGATTAACTTTTTCCAAAATCGGAAAATTTCAAATCAAAATTTCAGAATTTTCCAATTTTCCCTCACCTTAAATATAAAATACATGATAATATTGGTACTTTAATTGTAATATTCGTAAAAAAAAAAAATTGGATTATTTTTGGAACTTTAATCAGATCAGAAATTGGAACCTCGTAATTTCGGAATTTGTATTGAAAACAAAATGAGAAAATTTCGGATCGGAATTAGCGGAAATCAGAAATTCCGTTACAATTTCATTTGCACCAGCAAAATTTTCATAAATAAGAGCCTACAATATGAAGAATATTTGGAACTTGTGTATATTCTTCAAAAAAAATAGATCAAAATATATGTATCTTCATAAATATTAAGAAATACTAAATACTACTATTTTTTAAGTTAAATAAATAAAACAAAAGGCCTAGTAACTAATAATAACTACTACTTTTTAAGTTAAATAAATAATAAACAAAAGAAAAATAATTTAGTACAAATTCTTCCTAGTGAAGAAATTCTTCTCTGGTGAGATTATTGCAGGCCCTGCTAGTGTACATTTCCACCTGCATTAAAGACATTAATACCTATTAAACACTTTTTTCTCGTTGCAAAATGTACCGATTCCAAATAATTTCGATAATTGATAAGAAAAAAAAAAGAAATATTAATAATCAGACCCGTACCTATTTACACGAATAAATAGCACAATTTTTCAGCCGGAGAATTGCCCCTTCGATAGTTTCGGAGTAATCCTCAAAATAATATCGTCGTACGGTTTCTCTTGATTTGTATCTATAAGTCCGTAATTCTTCAAAACCTGCAAAAATTATATATAGATATATAAACCGATTTAGATTCTATTTCATTAGCAAAAATATTACACGAATATTAGGAAACATGTGTGTCGGAATTTTAGAAGTTACCAAAGTTTCGTAGAACATTCTAGCACATATTTTCTTGGGTTTGCCTTCTAGAATCTTCTTCAAACTGAGATCTCCCGGTGGTTTGTTCGAGTTGTTGTCCGAGATAGGAGTTGCTGAAGACTGCCTTTTCAAGTACTGTGCCAAAGCCCTGCAAACGAAAACCAAAACATTAAAAAAAAAAAAAAAAAAAAATTCCAACTACAGTAGAACCTCGATAAATTAATAACCTCGTTTAAATAATAATTTCTCTTGGTCCCCACTCGATAACAACGTATAAAATTATTAGTTCGATAATTTAATATTTCGCTATATTAATAGAATTTTGCCGGTCCCGACTGTATTAATTTATAGAGGTTTAACTGTAAGTGAATTACCTTGTTCGTGAAGACAATTGTTGCAGCTCGGGGGTTCCTTGATTCTTTGAGAACATACCAAATTCCGGTGTTGCTTCGGATCCTATTCAAACACGCGTAAGAAATATCAGATATCCTGTCTTAAAATCAATTCGTTTTAATTTTTTTTTTTTTAAAGCTCCATTAAAAGATTACCGATTGTTGAACTGCCATCTTGTTCTAGAAATCCAAGTTCCTGCCACATAAGTAAAGATATAAGCATTTCAAATGCAATAGGCTTATAACTTTGCACGTAAATGTCGATAAATAAATAATATAAAAATAAATATATTATATAAGCATGCATAAAGAACATACTCCTGGAGAAGGCACAAGCTCGGGAATGTCGGAATTGAAAGTGCCCCCGCCAGTATTGGGGGTTTCGATTTCCGAGAAAAAATTATTCGATGGTCCATTGTCTGGGGTGTGGAATATTCCGTCCCCATCGGTATATTCCGTCCGTCTTGACGGCGATCCAACAGTGGGGTTCACAGGAGTTGAGTAACCTTGTTTATTTGGAGAAGGCAGAACATCGGAGGGTATAAATCTCTCCGGTGTAGCAGCACAGTCGTTATTACGAAGCGTTTCGATTTCCATATCAGTAGCGACGACACCTGTCCCTTCGTTCGTTTCCTCTGTAATAAACCGATCAAGTTTAGAAGAGACAAAGTCGTCTCTATGTATGCTTTCCAGGTCAGCACAAGATCCTGCATTGTAATAAAACCCGATTTAGAGAAGAAAAAAAAAAAAAAAAAAAACCGAAATTCAAGTGATAAATAAATAGTACTTACCAGTTATAAACGGGTCGTAAAGGACACCTTCCTTTCTCATTCTCGATCTTTTGTTTCGTTTCCAAACGTGAAGGGAATCTAAAGGACTCGATCTCCTTTCCCGAAGAATATCCTTCGTGTACTTTAGGTTATTCTTCAAGTACCTAAAAATCGTCAGATTCCAAACATTATGGGATGACATTAGATACAAAATCGACGAAACATATGACAAACAAATCGTACTCATTGTTAAGGACAGTTGTCTCGTCAAAGAGCTGTCTCCTGTTCCTCCTAACTCTTGCCGGCTGTGCGACAGGTGGCGTCGGTTGTAGTTCCATTTCCGGTGATTCATGGACTGCCACAAAATAAATAAATAAAAAGTAATTATAAATTGTGATGGTTAAGTAAAAAAATCGATGATAAAAAACAATTGCACCCACCGAAATGAATTGGAGAATCCAACCGCACCGGCGAATGTTGTTCTTGGTGATTTTCAAACGAAGGAACATGGTCATCAGCCGGCGGCACCACTGTTGTTGTTTCGGGTGTAGATGGAGTGGTCGAAGAGGTTTTGTTATCTCTATTGAATTGTTCCTCGAGGAATTTATCGGGCTCCGCCCGATCGGGCAGCTTCGGTGAATTGTTAAAATCGAAACCATTTCTTCTAGCATCGCGCATCAATTCAATACTCGGTAAATCTTGAGGAGTTCTATTTCCGACATTTATATCATCATTTCCAAATAGATTATCATTATTATTGTTGTTATCGTTGCTAGGAGGAGAACGAGCATCGAAATCATCTGGAGGAGGAGGAACACTGCAAGGGCAAAAGAGTAAAATTACACAACTCGCTCAAAAGGGCAAAAGAGTAAAATTACATAATCTAATGGAAAAGGACATACTCTTCGTCCATTGGCTCGTGCGTAGATTCTGAATTGTCTCCCGTGAAAGACGAATCCTTCAAATCATGCTGCGATAGATAAACGGTCTTCAGAAAAATATGAGCACACAAAAAAAAAAAAAAAAAAGATATTTAAATGCATATGCAAGAAAATGGTGTTACCTCGTTAAAATGGATGACGATATAGGGATCTCTATCAGTCGGAATTTGCTCTGTGACAAAATATCGTAAGTCGTAAAATCAACATTATTACGAAAAGAAAATTAAGCCGTCACATTTGATATAAGTAAGTACCTGTCAAAGTTATGTCCTCTTGCCTCAATAAATGAGAATCCTCGGACCTAAAGAATTACAAATCCGATAATTAATCTTCGTACAAACCTAAATATTTTCGCCAAAAAATAAAAAATTAAAATTAAAGACTTTTACCAGTCGTTGCGAAAATCGTCCAACTCGAAGGAATCAAGATTAAAATTTTCTGGCAAAGTGACGGACTTAAACGAAGCGTGTGTCGCGTCGTTAGGAAGATTGACGTTCACGGTTGTAAAAACACGGTTTATTGTAATCCGAATTTCGTTGCAGTCTTCGTAGAGATAGTCGACTTGTTTCGAATATATGCGTACGACTCCAAGTAGAAGATGCCCCGACATTCTCAGTGCAATAGGCACCTCCGGAAACATGATTCTCTCTGCAAATTGAGTTTCATAACAATATTCAATTTTTTTTGCAATAAAAAAAACGTAATTTTAAAGTACGAAATCAAGAACAAACGCAGAAAAGAACTCCTATTTACAAACATTTCAACAACTTTCAATTTTTCAAAAAGACGTAGGATTAAATGATTCCATATCTGCTGATGCTAACATTTAGTAAATATACACTACTAAATATTCGAACTCAACTGTGGAGTGACGTCGAATTTGAGTAAAAATTAATATATCAATGCAAATAATATGAATCGAGAACAAAGAATCTTGATTGGTAAGTGATATTCTTTTTAAATATATCTACGGAAAAATGTAATCTTTAAATGAATATCCACATTTGCCATAAATTTGCTGAACATAAACCGAAGATGAAACAAATCTCATGAAAAAAAATTGAATCTTTATCACAAATCAAAGAAATGAACCCGCATTTGCTTCGTTTTTCTCTAATCGAATAAAATAAAACTCTTATCGGCAAGAAAATCAAGAACCAAAAGTGGATTCACAAAAGGACGAAAAAACCCTTAAATTTTAAGACTACAAATTGATAAAATTAAGCGGAGATGAAACAAATCGCATGAAAAAAAATTGAATCTTTATCACAAAATCAAAGAAATGAATCAGCATTTGCTTCTTTTTTCCCCTAATCGAATAAAAAAAATCTTATCGAACGGCAAGAAAATTGAGAACCAAAAGGGGCTTTTAGCAGGGAAGAAAAAAAAACCCTTCAATTGTAAGACTACAAATTGATAAAATTAAGCAGAGATGAAACAAATCGCATGATAAAAATTGAATCTTTATCACAAAATCAAATAAAATGAACCCACATTTGGTTTTTTTTTTTCCCCTAATCGAATAAAAGAATATTATTATCGAACGGCAACAAGAAAATCGAGAACCGAAAGGGGCTTTACAAAGGGGAGAAAAAAAAAACCTTAAATTTCAAGACTTAAAATTGATAAAATTAAGCAACAAATAACTAAACACCACACGGCCAGGAATGCAGAATTGACTACAAAATCAAGTATTAGCTTCTCATGAACTGAAACCCTACAAACCACTAAAAAAAAATCTGCTTTTCTTTTTACATAAATAAACAGAATGGTAAAAGTAGGTGCGAGTACAGAAATAGGCGAATCGAAATCACGAACCGACGGTGGACGGAACATTGGTGGCAACGTAGTGAGATTTTTTGAGCCTGTGCTGCAAATGGGCGGCGCACCAAACAGTGCCTAAAGGCCCCTTCCTTGCCAGAAACGTGTGCGAATAGAACATCCCCTTCTTCTTCTATACGGCGGCGGGCGGCGGGTTGCGGTGGCGGTGGGGTTTGGTGTGTGTTGTGTGTGTGAATTAAAAAGGGTAGGGTGGGCGGGGTGGGGGGTTTTGGGGGGAGGAGCGGGAAGGGAAAGAGGCGCGAAAACAGAAAAAAATTGATTGAATTTCCTGAATTGTTATGTGAAATTGGGGCTGTAATTTGGGGGAATTTACGAGACTGCCACCGGATTTGTGGCGGCTTCCCACGTACGTTTTCTACAGTCTTCCTCTTGCAACGGTGGACGTGTGGGGGGTGGGGGAAGTGGCCACGTGGCAAATTCTTTAAGGAGCCGTTTGGATTCTATAAAATTTCGAATCTTCATGGAATAATTGAGAACAATTGGAGACTTTTGAATAAGGAAATATGTGGCAATATATTAAAAATATTTATATATCTATTTGAGTATTAATTTTGTTGTAATAAACTATATACCCACTATAACCTCGATAAATCAATACACCATGTTTTTAATGACATTCGCTTCATAATAAAAAAAATTCGGTCCCGAATTAGTATGGACGTACTAAATTTTCAGTTCGATAATTTAATATTTTTTAGCTAAATTGTTATAATAATTTAATTGTCCCGACTGTATTAATTTATAGAGGTTTAACTGTATTTCTATTAAGGGGTCTTAAGATATAAGTCACTGGTCCTTATTAGAATTAAATGACAAGTCTAATTAAAATTTTCTTCACATTCTTTATTAAATTCATTCAAAAAATGCCCCTCTACTCACAAATTCAAAATTACAACATACTGTAAATATACTATAATGAACTATGTTATTATTTAACATTTTTAAGTTTGTATCTAGCATTTTTTTTTACGTGGAACACGTTTTTTTTCTTTTTTCCCCCTCATTTTTCATATTTTTTTTATTATATAAAAATCTATTGTTTCCCTTATTTTCTATATAAATTGAAAATTATGATTTCTTTTGTTTTTTTTCATTTTTCTTATTTTTTTATTATATAAAAACCTATTTCTTTCCCCTTCATTTCTTCATAAATTAAAAATTATGGTTTTTTAATATTTTTTTTCGGTGGTAAACATCTATAGAAACCCCTAGGAACCGTAGTAATCCGTAGTTACCCACAGACATCTTAAAACTCTAATTCCTCCTTTGAACCTTAGCCGCCAGACACCACAGACATCCATAGACACTCATAGACATTTGTAGACATCCAAATCGAAAAATCTTAAATTTTCCCTACCAAACCCTAGATCCGATCCGCCGCCGCCGCCGCCACCACCACCACCGCCACTACTCCTCTCTCCCTCCCCCACACCCAGACCCACCTCACGACTCATCCCTATTGGTTGCCAACAAACAACGAGCCTACCATCCCCTGCTCAGCGTCAAAGAGCCTTCAGATGCAACCACTACACCGAGCGCCACCATAACCGTCGCATTCTACCATAACCGCCGTCACTATAGCCGTCGCCACCTACCATAACCACCGTCAGCCTCTATACTATTCCACTATAATTGAAAAGAGAAAAAGAAAAGGAGGAAGAGGAGGGGGCGTGAGGAGAGAGAGGGGGGAATGTGGAAATGTGTTGAGTGGCGTGAGAGAGGGGAAAACAGATAGAAAGAAATGAGAAAAGAAAAAAAAAAGATACGTGACTTTTATTATGTATTGTAAGGGTATTTTTTGATTAAACAAAAATTAAAGGATGTGTATCAATTTTTATTTTAAAATAGGGATATAGTTAAAATGTTCTATTTGAGTTGTCACTTATATCTATATAAGTTTGGTTTGAGGGGTGTGAGGCATATTACCCCTTCTATTAATTAGTATCAATAAAACCTTGTAATGAATTTTAATGTACTAACTCTTGTCCACCCAAAGTTCCATTATTTAACTAAAATGTTAAATCTCACACACAAATTATTGAATCGGCAAAATTCATTTATTTTCTCGCGAAATAACACACAACCATATCAGACATTAGAAAAAAAATATCAATTTAATAAACAATACTAAATATTTAAAAAATATTAACAATAAGAAATTATTTAAAAAATGTTCAAGAGAATCGTGGAAATGTTGAATTCATTGTAGTTTTTGAGTGATTTTGAGAGGACGCCCGAGAAGGAAGAAACGAGAGAAAATTTTACAAGGATAGAGAATTTTTTTTTTCAATTTTTGTTCATTAACTTTTAGTGCGAGATTTAACACCTCCCATTGTGTAATCCAGCCAATTTATATGACTCAATCAATTTAATACTTATCTTTTGTTAAAATTTATTAAAATACTTTTTACGAAAATCTTATATATAAAAGAAAGAAACGCTAGGGCAACCCTAAGAAACCCTAATGTCATATTTGTATTTTTTTTTCAATTTTTATCAAACTTTTATCTCCTTAATATTATTTTAAATATTATTTTCGAATTTTATCATATTTGTATCCCCTAAATATTATTTTAAATATTATTTTAAATATTATTTTTTAGTTTTATCAGATTTTTGTCTCCTAAATATTATTTTTTTAGTTTTATCAGATTTTTGTCTCCTAAATATTATTTTTTTATTTCTATCAAATTTTTATCTCCTAAATATTATTATAAATAATATTTTTTAATTTTATCAAATTTATATCTCCTAAATATAATTTTAAATATAATTTTCAACTTTTAGCACATTTTTATCTCCTACATATTATTTTCGAATTTTATCAAATTTATATCTCCTAAATAATATTATAAATATTTTTTCGAGTTTTATCATGTTTTTATTAGTTTTTTATCTCCTCAATATTATTTTCAATTTGAATCTTATTTTTGTCTCCTAAATATTAATTTCGATTTTTATCTCCTAAATATTATTTTAAATAATAATTTTGATTTTAATCATATTTTATCTCCTAAATATTATTCTAATTATTATTTTCGTATTTTATCAACTTTAATCTCATTAACATTATTTTAAATATTATTTTTAATTTTTATCAAATTTTTATCTCCTAACTATCATTTTAAATTTTATTTTCGATTTTTATCAGATTTTTATCTCCAAAATATTATTTTTTGATTTTTTATCAAATTTTTATCTCCTAAATATTATTTTAAATATTATTATCGATTTTCATCAAATTTTTATCTCCTAGATATTATTTATAATAATCTGATTTTCGATTTTTACAGAAAAGGGTAAATAAATCTGATTTTCATACCTAGCGGATTTTGAGACATCGTTTTACAGAATGTCTGCAACATTTGAATTTTATTTCTTCCCTGCCTAATGCTTCTTTTTTTGGTAACCCGACTTAAGATTTTGTTTCTTATCTTCTTTTTCATCCTATTGACTGTGTGGTAATTAGTTTACATCTTTTTCCATCATGGCTTATAGGTAATTTCATTTTGTTAAATTATGTGTTTCATTAATTTATACCAAAGATTTCAAATTTTATGTATAACAATTGTTTCATTTTATATGTTATTGGACATGTTATTGAAAGGGATGATTTGAGAGAATTAACCAAAAATGGGCGGAGCCACAAGCTATTGGAAGTCGACATTCAAGACTTATTGTTTGTATGCGATATTTAATTTATAGTTTATATTTATTTTTGTTTCTTAATTTTCCAATTGTTAATTCCAGTTGCAAAACAACCTTAAAATGAAGCAGTGGAGAAGGGCTTAGTTCCGATGCAAGATGTATAGATGGTCTTTTACGATGGTATGTTGTCGATAGTTTAGTTTTGATTATGTTAATTAAGTTATTGAATCTAATTACTTTTAAGTTCAACATGAAAGACATAGTTGATGATTTTTTTCCTGGTTCAAATTTTCAATCTACTGGTATTAGCTGATTCAATTCATTTGGAAAATTATTCAACAGCAAAGTTTTTTTTTTTTTTTTGTGTGTAGTATACTTAATAATGTTCCACTGATGAATTATTAATGAATGATTATAAAAGAATTTTGATCATACGATACATCAAACGTTTGTTTATATTCTTACAACATCAAAACAATGCAATTTGCTATCCCGTGCATCGCACGGGTACAATTACTAGTACATTTAATATATGCGTTTATTTCTTCTTCGACATTAACATTCTCTTCCACACATTCTCTTCCACACATTCTCTTCCACATAGCGAATTTAAGTATACAACCCTTGGAGTACAAACTTAGTTTTTTAAAAGATATTTTTTATTTCATTTATTTGCATTATTTTGTCAATTGTATTTTCTTGAATCACTTAATTTTCTTTGTTTTTGAAGTTATGTTACTGCTGTTGTTTCAGATACAATAGCCAGCTTCTGAAATAACACTAACTTTTTGATGACTAACGAGGTGTTTGGGCATGTTTTTCTACAGTGAATAAGCGGGTTACTTTGCTCATAATATGTTTTTAGGTGTTTACAAAATTAACTTTTGCTTTTGCTTCTCTTAAAATAATCTGCTTTAAGCTATTTTTTTAAAAGCACCATTAACCCTGTTTTTTCAATTTTAGTTCATTTTCCGAAATATTTGCAAACACCCCCAACTTTTAGAAATAAGTACTTAAAACTAACTTAAATCACAATCACTAACTTCTGCTTTTAAATAATTATTTGTAAACACCACCTAAATATTTAAAATTATAATTATGTATTCTTACTGATGCAATAGCTATTATTTTTATCTGAATACTCATTAAAATTAGAAAGATCTTGTTAATACAAAAAATATTTGCTTAATTACTTGTGCTATTTTATATTATTACTAAAAAAAATGTTAACTGAAAAACAATTAACATTTGGGCTGTCATTCTCAGACTTCGAGTGGGCCCATTTGCTCTTTATCGCGCGTCTGCCTTAAATCAATGATTAAATTCCACTTTCCATTTTTTACATTGGATCGATACCATTTACTCCATTCGACTCTCGATTGCATCGATTTGCCCCTTGTATTTGAAAAATGTCTCAATGCAGCCATCGCCGTTAGTTTTCAGACATTTAACATTGACACCGTTTGATCTAAGTCTGAAAATTACAAAGAA